GCAGAACTACAAAATAGACTTCTGTAGCTGCACAGTCTTACAAGACATTATGCATACATATATTTGTTAAGATGACACAGGAAATTTTCTGTTGTTTTTGGCAACCTTCTCTGCCCCCACAGGGGACCAAGTGTGCATTTTGAAGAACAGGTGTTAAATAGCTGTTATTGCTAAAACAGACATCACCTGCATTCCAGACTTGCTGGCCCTCTCAGGAGGTCTCTCTGATGAGATACGGCTGTATGTTTTGTGTACATATCCCATTAAAAACGGAACTACTACTTCATGACAAAGAAATCCATTACACACCAACAGAAGTTTCCTATTTCCTTTGTTAGTAAATTCTGGGACACTGCTGAACTCCTTCTGTTATGGGATTAATCAAACAAACACTGTTAGTTCCATTGTAAATAACAAACGCTAGAATACCAGGAGACTCTATAATAGACTTAGTATGAAGGCTATATAAATATTTAACCTGACAAAACTACCTACCTTTTTAGTGCTTCTAAATCTGAAAGCATAAAGAAAATCAGATTTTGCCCATCTTGGGGGAGATAGTCTAGGATATTATCGTATCGGTAATGCACAGTGTTGTTTATTAACTGCACAGAGCTGGGCTCTGTACTCTGGGGAAGTCAGGAAATCCTAGCGTACTCCTACCCCCATTCAAGATCTGACACATGGTAGAAGAGCACTCCTACTGCACTTTCAGCTATTTGAAAGCTTTGTTTGAATTCTACCTACAATAGATAACCAACACTACTGCAGACAAGTTGCCCCCAGATAACCCGGTGGCCTATGCTAGCCTAAGTACCTTAACATTTCAGAGTGATTACAGTCTGAAACATTTCTACAGCAACTGCTGAGATCTTACGAATGGTTCTGGGCCCAATAAAGTCTTTTTCACTTGCCATCTAACCAAACTCCACGGTGTGTTCACCTCACTACCATGTCTCCACTGAATGAATCCTCCCTTGCTCTCACCATCAGTGGCCTTAATAAGGAAGCCTCTCTCTCTCCCTTCCATTTCCCACCAGCCCCAAGAATGGGAGAAAAGCCTCTCAGTCAGCTTGAGCTTCCTGGCACAGAATTAGTCATGTTTCTCAGTAGTCAGGGCATAATAACTGGCCTTAATTGTTTTATATCTTGCAAGATCTGCTGCTTGGGAAAAAAAAAAAAAAAAAGGAGAGACAGATAACCTTAAGTAGCAGAATTAGAGAAACCTCTTTCAGCTATCTTCTGACGTTGCAGCCTGTCTTCACGAAACCACACTGCATTTCATTATGTCTTCCAGAGTTTCTTTTTGGTGTTATGTAGAAAACTCTGGGAAGTTTTAAAAGGTTTAGGTATGCTTAAAATATATCCTAATATTTTTAAAAATGCAGAAGGAAAGAACCATTACAAAAGTGGGAGGAAAAAATTTAGGAATAATTTGAAAAATAATCTATAAAAAAAGATAGCTGTTTCCCACTACTGAAAATATTTCAACATTTTCTTCCAACCTAAGACAATAAGTTCATTTATCAACATTTTTCACAGAGTCAGAAGTTCTGAATGTTCTATACAGAAATACTGAAACATTTCACTTGAAACATCTGAAATATCTGAAATACTGAAACATCTCACATTTTGAATTCTTAGTCTCAAAAAAATGACTCCTAGTTCAAAATGTTACATCTTCACCTGCTGCTTTGAAATGCACGTATTTGGGATTTAAAAAAAGCTGATATTTTAGGCATGCTTGATCTTCCTCAACGATTATAGAATATAAAGATGCCAAATTAGCTTTTGTCACAACCTCTACATAGATAAATGAGAGGCAGGCATCAGTAGTAAAATAAATGCCATCAGGATCAATTTTATATAATACTTATATATATGTACATGTACGCACACACATATACACACTATTATTTCCATACATCTTAACAAGGACCCTATGAAAAACAATACATTAAAAGACAGAATTAAATGCATAATTTAGGCCATAACCTTTGAAACCACAGACATACCCTTTTGTGTGTGTGTGTGTGTGTAGTGACCGAGACTATGCAATGGAATATAACTAAAATACAGGCATTCACAGATCCAAGCAAAATCAAATAGCAGCAGGAGGATTTTTTTTGACTACCTGTATCAGTAATGTGTTGTCATTAGAAAAACTTATAAAAATAGTATGCTTTCTTGTTTCAGTTTTAGTATATATTCTCCGATATTTAAGAGCATAAGGCTTAGTACATAGCTCTTTCATTTAATGTATAATATAATCCCTTTCTTAAAATAATAAAAATTCATCTTAATCGCAGTGAAATTTTTGCCCTTACTGCTTCTGTTATGGCTGTTACAGCACGTACTGTCCTCATTAGCTTAAATATTAAGCCTCACTGGCTTAAACATTTATTTTTCTCTCTAGTTTACACTCTGATACATCTATAAATGGTAACCATATCCTCTTACCCTTTGCTTTGCTGTACTACATAGGTTGCACACTTCTTAATATAATCTCATAAACAGGCTCTTCATTCTAATGCTCCTTCTGTTGATTCAGTTAAATCAATCTTTCTTGAATGTGGATGCTGAGATTAGAAAAGTTGAGATCACATCAAGGTCTTATATAATAACATTAATTCTTTCCTGAAAACATTTCATTTCCTACTTCGAACTATTCTGATTGCAGTATTATGATGGTGGCTTATTGCTATCTTGAGGACAATGATACAGTATTACCAATGAAACTGAACTAGGAGATGTTTATTTAATACTTTGCTCTACATTTCTTTGTTTGCCTATGGAGCACAGACGTATGTCACATTTGGTGTTAAACTGGTTTAAATTGAACTATCACTTTCCTTCAAAGCAGCTGTTATCAGTTAAACTAGTCAATCCAGATGCAACTTTAGAAAGAAGTTCTTTTAAAAATGCAAATGGATTTATTATTTTCCAAACCAGACTCTTGGTGAATTACACTTACAGACCTTTACCAACTTTGCTTATTATTGCTTCTATTTTGTAACACACCTAAATATATTACAGCAAACATCTCTCCCCTGTAACTTGACAGAGCTTGGACCTTCCAGTAAAGCAGCTACTATGAAGGGACCCCAATTTAGTAATATGAGTGCCCCAGTATTTCTTACACTTGCTGTAATTTATGTCTATGATCACGAGTAACTTGCTGATGAACTTTTTTCAGCTATAATGTTTGGGCTCTAATATACTCGCCTGTTATAATGCCAGAAGACTATGGATTGGTGTATCTCTAAGATCAGAAAAACCTTCCTATTGATAAAATAAAGACTGCTACAGTATTCATATTTGGTTTGAGAGTATCCATGTATTCACATGTATCACAGACAAAAAACTCAGGTAAGAGAACTACAACAAGAACACAGATGATCTGTACTACACAGTATTTCTTTATTATAATATTTCTCCATATTTTAGCCCTTACAATGGGGTTTGTTGCACAGGAAAGTACATGCATAAATCACCAGCAATGGAATCTTTCTTTCCAATAACTATGTTTCCTTAGTAACCAGGTGCAAAGGGGAGCTTTAGGATGAAGTGCATTTTTCCTAAACTTAAAACAAAACTAACTATAACGGAAGATATATGTGGGCAACTGCACAGCCACCAGGAATAAGGTTATGAAACAAATTAGTCAATATATGGAAAATGAGAACCAGAAAGTATGACATAATTATTTCCATGCAATAGCAATGCTTTTTTAGAGTTCTCACTGCGGTAATGCTTTTTCATAGTATTCTGATAGGAAAAGTTAAAGTTTTTACTAACAAGACTTCTTACCTTTCTGCAATTTTTGAATACTGTCAGAGAAGGTAAGTATTCATTACATGCTATCTTACCACAGTCTAATCCAACAGTCCACCTACTTCTGTTAGTTTCTACTAGGTAAACACCTTTCAATTTTACTGATCATGAAAGATGTGGTGGCTAAAATAACTACTAATTTACTTAGGCAGAAGATGCAAAGGAAATGATCTATTAGAGCTTTGCCACAGTATTTCAATTCTGTAGACTTGAGCAAAGAGTCCTAATTCCAGTTATTTTTTACAACATTTAGCTCGCTTGTGTCTAGCAAAGATATATATCAAACTGATTTTCTCCCACTGAATCATACCACTTTCAAGCAGGCACTCATTTCCAGAAGTTAAAAACCTGTTTTTACATTCCATGATATTAGAAGTCATCTTCAGTTCTTAATTTTGAGACCAGCAGTGTCTGACACTTCACTACACAGTGAAGAGGAAATTTGCAATTGACTGTCTGAAGATGTCTTCTTCCCGTGTTGACCATCCTTTCCCACTCTTAACAGTAACATTAATTTGAGACCCAGATGGTGACTAGAAGCAGCAAATCCACCAACAGAAGACAAACTGCAGGGACTACCTTTCACCTAAGAGCAATGACTCTAACCATTAATCACAAAAATGCCCAGAGTACAGGCCGGTAAGCATATTAAATTTTATTATTCAAGTATGATTTAAAGATGCTCATAGTGAGAACTGAAGAACTCTCCTAACCTTACAATCACAGTTGGTTTCTGTATTACAGATATCCAAGTTTATGTCCCCTGTGAAAAGTAGAAGAGAATGTCTTTTGCTGTTAAGCTTAATATTATTTCTGCCAGTAACTCCCAAGAGATACATTCTACAGAAAAAAAAAGAGAAATCCTTGAGTCCAGTGCACTGCCAGAGACTAGAGCTAGAATAACCATGTTACTTTTGAGTCCTGAACTAAAGATCTTTTCTATCTTTAGCAACCAGGACAGCAATACATATTTGAATATATCAATTCACCTGAAATGTATATAGATGAAGTGAGATAAAACAAATTTATTAAAGCTACTTTAGGAAACTCTATAGATTCTAGTCAGAGCTTAACTGCCTAGACATACATAACTTTGTATTAGGTCTAGACTAGTTGTTGGACAAATCAATTTTTTAAAAAAAGCTGGTCGGAATTCATATACATACCCTTTGCTTCTCAGGGTCGACATATCGAATGCCAAAATAGTCTTTTTCCAGCAAGCTGTAATAGTTGCAGATGTGATCTATGAGAAACTGACCTTTTGTTTCTCTCTGAAAAAGAGAAAGAATTGATACATTACTCTGAATATCCTGAACTTGATGGTTATCAGCTTTAAAGAATCTAATCAAAGGAACAAAGGAAAAACCATATGGATTTATTTGGTTTTGGTTATTCAGATGAGGACAACATTTGTTTTCTCTAAAAATGCAGCAAATAAAACATACTCCTCAGGGATCAATAAACTCCCTACACCTGCACAAACTGATTTCTGAAAAGAATACAATAAATTCTGCTTCTGGAATACCCATACTACTCTAATAGCTGCACATTTAATAACATTTAGTGTATTACCATTAACCATATTTCCACCTGATGTGATACCTACAAAACAAAAAGCCATTTCAACACAACTTCAATACTATGTATGATTTTTGGTTCATAAGCAGCTTGGCAGTGGCTACTATTACTGCATCTTTGTGAAGTGCCTACAGCAAGAGACCTGATCCCTAGTTCCTACACAGTACTGCAGTGCAAGGAAGAAATGCCCAAATTAATGATAAAAAAGGCATTTTCATCCCTGCATCATCACAACAGCCTGAAGGAAGCATGCTCTACACACCATATTTATTTAATGACTTTATTCTTTATTTCTGCTTTCTTGAATTTTAGCACTGTTTCATCTCTCTCTAATCTCATGCCAGGGAACTTTCACGGACTCTCCCATTCCTTACGATCTAAGTAACTTGATTTTTTTATATTATTACCAGCTGTGGTTTGGGCCAACGTTGTCCGCCTAGGACTGAAGATTCTAAACAGGCAAAGATGCTTGGTTATGCTGCAGTGTCAGCCTCTGAGTTTTTTCCCTGCCCTCCTTCTACCTAAGCCCTGAAGTAGATTGCTCTTCTGTGGAACCTGTATGAGCTGCTTCACGAGCCTCTACTCTTTGCTGCAAAGAAACAATTCGAGCAATATCCTAGTGTCTACAGAACAGAAGTTACACAGGGTATACAAATGTACTGAGCAATATTTAAATGTTCCTCCAAATTGTTCCCTTAACAATAAATATTTTGCTGCATTTAAGATGGTAACAATTTAAGCTATGCACAGCATGGCTACACAGCTATTTTGACTTGTTGACTGTAGGATATATAAGGCCTTATCCATCCCATGATATTTCCACAATGTGTTTGCCTGTTATTACCGGTATTGAATGACGTTACTAAAAAAAAAATTCTATTTTGGTAAAAGTAACTTAATAGATACATACACAATGTTACTACCTATCAGGAGGTACCAAAAGGCTTTTAACCTACCTAACATCTGGACAATGTCAGGTAATTCATACGTAGAAAGAAATATTTCATGTGGTACAGAGTATCTTAAGTCTGAATTTGGAATAAACAGTATGTTATAAAAACATGATGGGCAATACTTGTTTGGATTATTTTCTGCAGATAACATCAACAGATATTTTCAAAATTTCTCTAACAATGTTCCACTTTCTCTTGAGCTTTAGCAATCTAAGGATCTGTGTCTCCTCCCGCATTCCTTGATATACTTATCATAGTATAAAAGCATGCATTACATTCAAAGCTTATTCTTATTTGCAAAAGAATATGGATAAATTAAATTAGGAACTGCCAGTCATCCACAAGAGAGCACAAGAATGGATTTGGGTCACAGAATAATGAATATAAAAATTTGCCTGGAACTTCAGACAGTTACCATATAGCTTTCCAATTAAATGAACCATTTTCTTTTTTTTTTTAAGAGACATAGCAATCAAGTACTTCGTGGCAATTCACAATTATATATGCATATTTATGTTTCCAGTCAGCACTTTGTCAGAACATGACAAAAAAGGCATCACTAAGAGTATACTATTTGAAACTCTGCTGAAAAACATGAGCAGCAGACAACTGAAATCTGAGAGCAAAATCCAGGTCCAATTTCTAAAAGGTTACAGGCTCTGAAAATTATGCTGTGATTTCACACAGCAATCATCAAGTATTCTCAAGTAAAGATGAAGAACAACAGTCACAAAAGTGTTCAAACAGAAGAGCCATAATGCCCTGGACTGTAGTCAACACTTGTTTTTAATGATAAAGGAAAAAGTTTAAAATATGGCACTTTATTTTTTTTTTTCAGGACACTCAAATGCAATATCTGGTTATCTTAACTCTGATATATTTTCCTTCAGAGTTCCGTAACCCACAATTTATGAAAACATTTTTTTTAATGGCCTTTAAATAAGTCCTGTAATGTAGCTCTTTCACATACGAAAGCTTTTGGAGATTCTGTAAATAGCTGAAGGAACAGCTACCTGACATATTTAGAAAAATACAAGACTGATGTACTTTTTTTTTTAGGCCATACTTAAACATCTGATGTTAGTACTACCAAAAAACACAACAAACCCCTACACGTAAACACAATAAACCCCCACAACAGAAAAAAATGCCATGTAAATAAAAGAAGCACTGAACACAATCAAGGTCAGCTTACAAACACCTGTGAAAAATTGTTTATGATAGATCAAGAGGGTTCTTTCTACTGAAACAAACCATAAAAACAAAGGACACTCTCCCCTCCGACATACTCAGATCATATATGAGGTCCTCCAGTGACTGGCTCGCAGGAGAACCCTGCCACATTTTTCCTCCTCACCTCTATGAGCCAGGTAAGACATTGCAAAGATACATTTTTATTCCCAAGCACTATTATTAGGATTTCCATTCCTGCAATTTTGCATATTTATGATCAAGTAATCCACTTCCTTGTAAAAAGTAATTTAAATTCCTAGTTTCCGTGTGCAATTTAATAAACAACAGAGAAATTTTCCTATCCTCTCAAATTAATTCATTTCTGACAGTAAAAAACAAGTCCACAAAAGAGTCGTTACTTGTTCTACAATTCTGAAAGCCAGAAGACAAGCAGAAAAAACCTATAATAGATGTTTGGGATTTTACATTCAATTAAAGACTTCTCAACTCACATTTGTTTCACCATAAAGTTCTGGGTCTGTTTATTTGAATGCTGTCACTGGCAAAAGCCAGATTTGCAAGCAGATCAACACAACACTTCAGCTGTTATCTAACCACTGAAGTCCTGCCAGCTGTGCTCCTGTCGGTCGGGAAGCCACTAATACTGCTAAGAAGCACTGCACAGTTATAAACACGGCATTTATTTGTACAGGGGATTTCAATCCCCATTCCACAACGGTCTTTGCACAAGAGAACAGTTCCAGTAAGCTGTATGTCAAGTTACTCACATAATCAGAGATGTGTTTGCAAGATTAATACAACTCTACTCTAAAAGTGAATTGAAAGGACAATAAGAAAAAAAAAAAAGTTAAGATAAACGGAAAGTCCAGTCTCTCAGGCAAGGCTGGAAAAACATCTGGTTTTGTATGTGTATTTTAATTAGAGTTTTTATTTTAAAATGTGACAGATCTAAAAAAAAATGAACATAACACTTGAATTAAGTAATAATAACAAAATGAAAGCAGATCTGGAAAACAGACAAAACAAGAAGTCAGCCATGAGACAGGAACACAATTCAGAAAGCAGCTTTTTGTAATGTTAATTGACAACTGAAATAGCAAAATATTACAATCGCAAAAATATCAAAAATGCAGCAAGATTTACAGAGCCAAACTGCTCTCTCAAGAGACACTTCTCAAATTTCCAGCTCCTGTCTGGCCAGGGGTCCAGGTGATAAAACTCTATTTCTTCTGGGCTTCTCGCAAAAGAACTACCTTGAATGCCAGCAGGAGCAGATCCTCCACCTTGCTGCCGGCCGCTCAGCAGTTCCGCATCGGGGCCTGCTCTCACGCACAGAAACGTGGCTGCAAAGGGACATCCAGGAACAATTGTGGGTCCATTTGTGTGCTGGGACTGTGGTCATGTGTCTGCTCACATTTCCAGTGGCACGGCAGCAAAGCTCACTAGGCAGCGCCGGCAGACTAGGACACACGTTATGAGAAGAAGTTTAAAACTTAACCTCTTGGAGATGAATAGAGACATTTGAGGGTGCAGAAAGAGAAGCCATTGCCTGAGATTCCCAGTATTTTCTAAACAAAATTTTAAGTCCTGTCCTGAAAACAAAAGCAAAGAATTAGGATGCAACTACTGAAAGCAGCGAGGTGGAAAAATTGAGCTTGGATCTGGCGATTGCCAACACTCATCCTGACTCACTCCAGGGCCCTGGGCAAATTTCTTACGCTCTTAGGATTTATGAATTCACTGAGATTACAAATGACAGTAACTGCTCACATGATGGATACACTGACAACTTCTTTGCCTTTATTGCTCTGCCCTTTGCCCGATAAGTATTTTTTCTGTAGAATTTTTGCAAGTGCTCGATATCACATAATGCCTTGAAAATAGAAAAAGCAATTAAAAATGGGATGGTTGTTATTATTTAATTAAAATTCTGTGACCCATCAGTAGCATTTCCTTAGTGTTCATAATCAGCACTTTGCAATATTTTAAATTACTTGAAGGTAGGCTGGAAAACTATTATTCAATATTTCACTGGAAAAAAATGGCAACAGTAAGAAGGGCGAGATATAATTATTATTTCCTTTGAAATCTGTGAATTAAAAAACACATTTCTGGCTGATCAAACCTAACTGGAACTGGCACATTTTATTCTAGAAGCAAATTATTTATAATAAATGTGGGTTTTTTCCTTTTACAATGAGGAAATAATTGCATTGCTACAAATTTGGAACAAAGAAGGTGGGAGAAATTAATGTGTTAGAGTGTTAGTCCTTTAATTTAAAATAAACAAACAAACACACCCACCCACACAATTATATTACAGTAAAGCAATTGCTATTCACTTAATAGAAGAATCCTCTTCCATACACTATCTAACATGAATCATTTCTTGCAGATGACATACTTATATAGAATTATTTAAACATCTACCTGTAATTTGTATCAACAATTCCTAACAATTAAATGGAGAAGATTATTTATTTTTAATCTGTGGGTATTAATATTTGCTTATGTATAAATCTACTCATCTCACTATGCAACAT